AATAAAAGGACTTCTTTTGCTCCAGTGTGTCAATGTTACTCATATTATGTTATGAAACAAATGATGAACCATTTGTTAATTTTGGATTGGTGTATATTTTTGTTTTATTTACTATTGAGCGATGAATTAAATTTCGTATATTGGTATAATGATTTATAATTTTTTACTAAGTTGGTAATTAAGTGAATATCTATTCATTGAACGAGATAGCGCTTAATTTACATGCTTCTTAAAATGAGTAGCAGAGCAAATCATAATAATCGGCTTTAAAACAAACCATGCTCTATGTTGTGTGGAAGAAAACTCATTTTCAAAAGTGAGTTGAAATCTGATCGTTCAGACGTCTTACAGAATCTTAAGGATATTTTTAAAGTTTGATACTTGGTGCACATGCAAGGACAGCCAACCAAGATATAAAACCTGTGAATAGCTATTGGTATAGGGCCAAACGCGCATGTAGTCCAAAGTAGCCGCAAGTTGAACTTGCGTAGAGACAAAGTATTAACTTAATTTTAGAAGGAGAATTTATTGGGAAATTAACAGATCGAAATGTAACAGTCGAAGAGAAAGTTTCCCCAAGTATTTCATATTTTTATTTGCACCACAAGCTTAACACCATTACATTCGCCTCATTAGTAGAAGACGGTATAAATGCTGGAAACCCAAATGTTTGACTTAAAAGGTATAAGTTGACTAAGATATTTTGAGGCGGAACTGTTGAGAAAATTAAAGGAATGTCAAGACAGTAACAGGGAGCTTACAACTGGACAGTGTTCAGCCTTTTTCGTTCCAGTAACGGCAGCCTAAAACAGGTCATTTTTGAGTTGATTCTTGATTTGCGTCAAAGTACACGTGCAAGCGAAGCGTTTTTAAAACAGCGCCAAGACACCTGAAACCTATGCAAGAGCACCATAACTTATTAATTAGATTTGGTTCCAGTGTAACATNGGGTGACTATACCAGTGCGGTTTTTGGTGTTTGCGAGGTGATATGGAATGTGGCCGATAACTCGACTTTTCTTTAGCACGGCGACTGCGTTTTTGTCCTCACCATTTCCCGGCTCTGGTTGCAAAGGCAAAATTTCACCGAGAGTGATACAGTTAATGATTTGTAATTTACAATACAATTAAAACGTTTTGTAGCCGTACAAGTGTCGGCCTTAGTGTTTGTATCGATAAAACACGTGTCCCTGACTTTTTTCCGAAGACCCCGGTTAATACGGACACCCCGTTAATACGGACATTTTGGCATGTCCCCTTGATGTCCGTATTAACGGGGTTCCACTGTATGTTTTGCGTCTCCGTCGACAGGCAAGGTATTGTAACTTTGGTGATCCTCTCGATGACAACCTACGAGATCAGTTAATTGAAAAAATGCCCGATAAGAATTGAAAAAGAAGCTGTTGGAAACCAGAAACATCACTTCACTTCGGAAGCAGCCGGGCAACAAGTGAAGCACATGGCAGGTGCATCGGACGTGAACGCAGTCGGACGAAAGGACTATAAGATAAACGATCAGTCAGTGAAAACGTGCTTCAGATGCGGAAAGGCAGGACATTTCTCTCGGGATCCGTGACGTCCAGCAAAAGGCGGGAAGTGTTCTAGCTGCTCGATGTTTGGCCATTTTGCAGTGTGCTGCAGAAACCTCGACCGCGCGGCACGAAAGAAGAGAAGAAGAGTTTCGTCCAAAGAACACCAGTGGTAATCATAAGGTCCCGAAGACAGACAAACCAAGTGGAAGATCATGTGGCGGGTAGCGGTCAAGAAAAAGAAAACCGTGCCTTTGCATTTACTGTGAGTGACCGCAAATCAAGTGACGACGACAAATGTGAGTATTGACGGAATTGTTCAGGAAGTTTTGATTGATTCAGGGTCTGTGCATGAGTAATCTGATAGGGGAAAAGGATTTCCAGAAATTGAAGGATGCCGGTCTCAAAGATAACATTGAAAATTGTTCAAGGAAATTGTTTGCCTGTTGTGCCTTGAATAGCGAGAAATGTACCTTTGGAATGGGTAAAGTAGTTTTCATGTGGATTCTCCTTTCGAAGCATGGCATCGGGCCCACAGAATGAAAGGTGCGTGCAGTGAAAGAAGCAACTTCTCCCTCGTCAGCCTCCGAAGTGAGGAACTTGTGCTAAACTCGACGGAAATTTTGCAGCTAAATTGAAAAGGTACACGTCATGTTTTATACGCACGGCCGTGCGTATTTTTCCAATAACTGTCTAATTTCTCGCACCCTGATTGGCTCATTGTTATCATCAATAAGAGTACAGACGGATAAAATTTTAATTCATGCAAGCTTTCAAGTTCAACTTTCAACTGTCAAACTGTCAACTTTTTAACCAATGAGAATTTATTGACTTTTTACGTAGCCAATCAAAAAGCGAGAAAAGATATCGACAATGTTCGCGTCATTTTGAATAAAATTCACTTATCTTTGTTTACGGCAAGTTTACGGCGTCTTTTCCCCTCACTTATTCCCGGCCTTTGAGCATTTTGGGGTCTTGCGATTGTAAAAAACAAATTGGCGTCAGTTTTCTATGCGTCTGTCCTCTTATCGATGATAAATTGCGTCAAAACATTGCCAAAGGTTACTGCCGAACCACTCGCCTGCGGCTCGTTGGTTCCACAGCCACTTTGACAATGTTATGAAGCAATTTATCATCAGTAAGAGGACAGACGCATAAAAAACTAACGTCAATTTGTTAAACAGAGATTTCGTTCAAGATGGCTCAATGGAAATTAGGTAGGACTAGCGCGCGTGCTATGTTATAATAGTTATTGTATGGTAAATTTGTCTACCTTGAAAATGGGGAATTCTGACTGGTTCTCGGCGAGGCCTGAATTTTGCGATATGGACCGCTTAGAAATAATTTCGGCTTATTCTGCATAAAAGAAAACAGTTTGCTATAAAGTCGAATATCTGAGGTCCTTTCCACACTACGCCGGATAAATTTGAAAACGCAGCTTTATTTCTACGGTTTACATTAGGCCTACCGTCCACACTAGTCCATCACGAAAACGGCGCTCTTCGAAAACGCTCTTCAAACTGGAGTAATTTGAAAGGCGGGCTTTGCGTTTAGTGTAGATATTTTGAAAACAGAGCTTTTCGAAATCGATGACATCGTGATAACCTTATGATTTCCCTGCCTGAGGAGTTTCCCTTAAACACAAAAGCAAAATGACTGGTGATTGTTGCGTTTGCAAATTCCTCCGCCGTACTATGGACGAAAAAAAAAATCATGCGTTTTCAGAGTGAAAATGCCGTTTTCAAATTTCTCCCGTATAGTGTGGATGGGGCCTAAATTAAATTGCCCTTGATTAGATAAGTCCAGTGTGAAATGATTACGTCTCAAGTCGGTGGAAGTAAGTAAGGAGATTTTCTTTCCCAAGAATGTATTTTTCTATCATCAAAAAATTCAAATAAATAACAAGAGGCTCATTATGAGTTTTCTTTCAGTCACTCATTCTATTTAAATGTTAAGATTTCCTCTGATGTTCGGCTTAAAAGAAGATGTATACATTTCACACCTTTAGACCCTTTTTTGTCCGAAGAGCAAATTTCCCGTTGTCTGTACTTCTATTGCAGTTGCTCAATAAGGAGTGCAATTGGATCTTGCCTGGTTAGTTAACAGCTATCATTGATTTTGATTATAAATTTTGCTTGTTTTTTTACCCTTTAGTTCCTAACCCTGCAAGAACACGTTCGCAAGCCATTTCAAAATGCCACCAGATTCAGCAATATTAATGGATCTTTAGATGCAATTTACACAAGGCAAACAATGCAACATTGAAACCAAAGAAGCTGGTACTGCCTCTGAAAATTTGAATAAATTTGAACCTTGTAATCCTTGCCTGAAAGGCTATTGAACCTTCATTAAAGCAATAAACCCCGATTACTTTGATCCAAGGAATTTTGTTGACAGAGTGTTAACTTAATTTTGGAAGGAGAAAAAAATTATTGATATTTATTGGGAAATCAACAAATCGCAATGCAACAGTCAAAGAAAAAGTTTCCCCAATATTATTTCATATTTTTATTTGCACCGCAAGCTTAATTACACTAATATAACCTTGGAGCCATTTTTTACCATTACATTCCCTTAATTAGTAGAACGCGGTAAAAGTACTGTAAAACCAAATGTTTGAGTTCACGGATATATAAATTGACCGAGATATTTGGAGTGAACATCAGACTGCTGGGAAAACTGATGAACGGAATGTCAAGACAGTAACAGAGAGCTTACAATTAACTGGACAACTTTCAGTTTTTTCATTCTAGGAAAGCACACTAAAACAGGTCATTTTTGATTTGATTCTTGATTTGCGTCAAAGTATACATGCAAGTAAAGCATTTTTGAAACAGCGCCAAGAAACCTGAAACCTAAGCAAGAGTACCTTAACTTATTAATTAGATTTGATTCCAGTGTAACATGAGCAACATGGCACTGCATACATGTTAGAAGTCCTTTGGACGAATCTTCATCTCAGATCTCTTGACAGAGTAGTGGGAATTCTTCCAGTGATACCACGACATTCCTTTAGAATCCACCTTACCATTAAGGTATAAGCCATTGAGGTTTGACCAATGGCAGTTGTTGTACCACCAAGCACCTTTATACGAAGAGGCACAACTGCTCGAGCTGGCATCATTATCACGATCTTTGGTGGTAAATGGAAGGCCTCGATGATAACTGAGGGAATCACCCGCAGTACCTGGGAAAAGAAGAAGCTACTCACCCAGCTAATATTATCAAGCACAAATTCGTTTAAGCGACATTACTAAAAAACTTTAAGGAAAAAGAATCACCGAGATACTGTACGTAGTTTTTCAACTGCGTACTGTAATATACTCGTAACCAGAAGTTGTGTTAAGCTGTTGTATTACCCAAGATGCTTAGAGAATAAAGTTGTTGTGTTGAGTAAGCCTCGTGAACTTGTGTTGTTATGTCACCAAGCCATACTTTTGCAAGTATGTTTCACGTACAATGTCAACACATTGCCTCTCTGAAACCTCTATTTGTATTCGCCTTTTAATTCTTCAGCTAAACTTCACAAAATATTTTGACATTCGCTTTTGTTAAAGCTACAAAACACCAGCGATGATAAACAATTAAATCCAAGGGAATTGATAGGCTCGTTTGACTTTTACTCCTTAATAAGCCGGACCGCCTGGATAAATAAATCTAGAGGCCGCTGTTATTGACTTGATTGACAAAATCATGTATTCCATACTGAAGTGCGAAATTCTGTTAAAGATTTTATATCGCTTAAAACCTAATTGTTTTGCGGTGCATAACTGAAGAGCCGAGTTTAATGAAAAAAAAAAAATGCCACCTAAAACACACAATAAAGAAGTAACTGCTTTGGGTATCGATAGTAAGCAACTGGGTGTAGTTCACGTCAATACATTTAGCACTCGAGCATGCAGCTTTAATTTGTTTTCTCACACTTAAAGCATGTTATATGGACTTTTTCGTTTGGAGAAAATTATTGCACAGATCAACTAGCACGGCTGTTTTGCAGTAAACTCTAATATATTTCGCAATTTCTACACTTGGTTAAAAAATAACAAATAATATANAAGTATTTTCGATTTTCTTGGCGTGGCTTGTTTCGGGGAAGAGGCTGTTGCTACTAGTAATGACATCGCACTGCGAAGCCTTCGTTGTGCCGCGTTTGTTACGCTCAGTTTAATAAACTACAGATTGCATATAAATGAAAATGTACACAATCTACTTTGGAAACTTGATGAATTTTCACATGAGTTCAGTTTAAGGCAAGGAAATGAGGCAATCTTGTAATCAGACAATGCGAAACAATATCATCATCGCAAAGCACCTTATTTGCTGGAATTGATCTTGAAGGATTGCATGTAAATAAAAAAAAGTTCAAACTGTAATCGATGCGGTTCAAAAGATATATCGAGTAAGAAGGACCACACTGTAAATGCAAAATTAAATGAAAGCAAACTGGCTCGAAACTGACCGACTAAGTCTTAGGGACTTCATTGCTTCCGTGCTGTATAAATAAACACGCAATTGGTCTTATTTCGAGCCTTGAAATGACTCAGCATGTATACAACGACCCTGATATACCATATATAAAGTAATTATATCTTCTACTTAACTCTACATAAGTTTTGTTTCAAACCTTTTTCGGACGGATTCCCAGTTTGGTTTCCTTTCATTTCTTTGATTTCTTCTTTAAGTTCGGCCAACTTTTGTTTCACGTCAGAAAACATGCTTTCGATTTTCTTGCAGTTTGCACCAGCCTGGAAGGTGTTGTAGTTATTATTCACATTACAGTGCGAACCTTTCATTGTACCTCCGTCAGTCTTCGCGGGCTTCGTCGTCTGATTTGAGTTTGCAAATGCCGCAACGAAAAAACCCAACAGAAGAGCTTGAAAGAGGAGTTTCATCGCGATGGTTGTAAAATTTGTTATTGTTGAGCATCAAAAGTTACAGCGAGCAAATGAGTAGAGAGGACTCAAAAAATTGTATATTAAGTGTTTTCTACACTTCTACACACGAGCCTCAAGCGAGTGATTCCACTGCTTTTTCGAGTCCTCCTAAACTTGCACGGGTGTTCTTATAATTCGTTAGTAACACTGAGAAAATGTTTTCCTTTTAATTTAAGAAACACTGCAAGAAAAATAAATGAAAGTCCCTCGTTTATTTTGATTATCAAAATGTAAATTTTCTTTGCTTGCGGCATCATTACGTCAACACCACGTGCAGGCGCCTACCTGCACTACCCTCTCTCAAGCCCTACCGTTCATAAGCCCACCTACGCGTAAACGAGATATTACTTTCGATTATAAGCCCTCCCTCTGGTTTAAAATGATATTTCAAAGCTTAATCTACCATATGAAAAACGTATTTCGATCAACACGGCTGTACCTCATTTTCAAACGATTTTTTTATACAAGTGAATATATGAAAGATCACACTTATAAGCTTCCCAGAAGATAAGCCCCTCCGTTTATAAGCCCATCCAAAACTCCTTACGAAGCTGTATAAGCCAAGGGCTTATAAGTGGCAGTTTACGGTATACGCCGTGCAGAGCTAGTTATTGACAGATTGTTATTAGTATGAAATATTTCATAGATGTATCAATGAATCACATTGTGTAGGGGAACTACTTCCTCGTCTTCCTGTCAAAAGCCAGAATTGAAAAACATAATTCAGTGCCTAATCATATCCGCCACTACCCTGATCACTGAAACACCACTTCTTTTAGACCCATGCGTGCGATAAGTTATTAAACAGGTCAAGAAATACAAAGAGATAAATTTTAAATGAATTTAATTTAAAACAATTGTTGGTGGTCACTGGAGCATGCATCAAGCGTGGCACTTTTGCTGAGGAATTTGCATGACATATATGATTTAATTAGTCCTGTCTGAGATGAATACATACTAAGGAAAACCAAGGAAAGACTTTAGACTTTAGATTTCACTGTTAAGACTTTCAAGAATATGGTAATTAAAACTGCAATTGTACTTACTCCTTGAAGCCTGTCTTGAAAATTCTTTGCCTGATTTTCAGTGATCATTTATACATTTCTACGACAATGCATAAGTCAGCATGTACGTACGACCTACGCTAGGCCTACCGTCCACACTAATCCGTCACGAACACGGAGGTCTTCGAAAACGCTCTGCAAACCGGAGGAATTTGAAAACGCCGGCTTTGCGTTTTAGTGTAGATATTTTGAAAACGGAGCTTTTCGAAAACGATGACATCAAACACAAATGCAAAACGACTGGTGATTGTTGCGTTTGCAAATTCTTTCGCCGTACTATGGACGGAAAACATTTCGTGCGTTTTCAGAGTGAAAATGCCATTTTCAAATTTCTCCCGTATAGTGTGGACGGGGCCTGAATTAAATTGCTCTTGATTGAATAAGTCAGTGTGAAATGACGTCTCAAGTTTGTGGAAGTGAGCAAGGAGAGTTTCTTTCCGAAGAATGTATTTTTCGATCATCAAAAAAAAAAAACAAAAAACAAACAAATAAATAACAAGAGGCTCATTATGAGTTTCTTTAAGTCACTCATTCTGTTTAAATGTTTTTAAAAGTTTTTCTCTGATGTTCTGCTTAGAAGAAGATGTATACATTTTACACCTTTACACCTTTTTTGTCCGAAGTGCAGATATACTTTCTGTTGCAGTTGTACAAGGGAAAAGTCCCTGGGAACGAGGTTGACTGGGATCTGTACTGCCAGCTGGGAATTTTTATGCAAATTTTTTGCTCAAAGCTGGATACCTGCGTTTCTCATTTTCCCCGCGAGGAGTAAACTCCCGAAAATAATAAATTGAAAGGAAATGCAGGAAATTCAAAGTTATTTCACAACTGCGTACCATACCTACTACAACATAAAATAGCATATGTTCACGGTGAAGCTAATAATTTCCATTCCTAGTTTCGTTACTCTCTTTGCATTGTTTTCACATAGAGCTTTCTCTTTGGCCGTCAACGGGAGTTGAATTTGAACCTTTTAATCTTTGCCTCAATGGCTATTGAAGCCACATTAAAGCAATAAACCCCGATTATTTTGATCCAAGGAATTTTTTGACAAAGTATTAACTTAATTTTGGAAGGAGAAATAAATTATTGATATTTATTGGGAAATCAACAAATCGCAATGTAACAGTCAAAGAAAACGTTTCCCCAATATCATTTTATATTTTTATTTGCACCACACGCTTAACTACACTAATATAACCTCGGAATCATTTTTTCACTATTACATACGTTAATTAGTAGAACGCTGTAAAAATACTGGAAAACTAAACGTTTGAGTTCACGGATGTAAAAATTGACCGAGATATTTGGAGTGGACATCAGACTGTTGAGAAAACTGTTTAACGGAATGTCAAGACAGAAACAGAGAGCTTACAATTAACTGGACAGTGTTCAGCCTTTTTCGTTCCAGTAACGGCAGCCTAAAACAGGTCATTTTTGAGTTGATTCTTGATTTGCGTCAAAGTACACGTGCAAGCGAAGCGTTTTTAAAACAGCGCCAAGACACCTGAAACCTATGCAAGAGCACCATAACTTATTAATTAGATTTGGTTCCAGTGTAACATGAGCAACATGGCACTGCATACATGTTAGAAGTCCTTTGGACGAATCTTCATCTCGGACCTCTTAACAGAGTAGTACGAATTCTTCCAGTAGACCCACGACATTCCTTGAGTATCCACCTTACCATTAAGGTATAAACCATTGAGGTTTGAATGATGACATGTGTTGTACCACCAAGCACCTTTATTAGAAGACGCACAATTGCCCGAGATGGCATCATTATCACGATGTTTGGTGCTAAATGGATGGCCACGGTGATAACTGAGGGAATCACCTGCAGTACCTGGGAAAAGAAGAAGCTACTCACCCAGCTAATATTATCAAGCACAAATTCGTTTGAGCGACATTGCTAAAGAACTTGAAGGAACAAGAATCACCGATCGAGATACTTTAGTGTAAGACATTGCTTCTCTGGAACCTCTATTTGTATTCGCCTTTTAATTCTTCAGTTAAACTTCACAAAATATTTTGACATTCGCTTTTGTTAAAGCTACAAAACACCAGCGATGATAAACAATTTAATCCAAGGGAATTGATAGGCTCGTTTGACTTTTACTCCTTAATAAGCCGGACCGCCTGGATAAATAAATCTAGAGGTCGCTGTTATTGACTTGATTGACAAAATCAGGTATTCCATACTGAAGTGCGAAATTCTGTTTAAGGTTTTATATCTCTTAAAAGCTAATTGATTTGCGGTGCATAACTGAAGAGCTGAATTTAATGGGAAAACAAACGCCACTTAAAACACGCAATAAAGAAGTAACTGCTTTTGGTATCGATAGTAAGCTATTGGATGTAGTTCACGTCAATACATTTAGCACTCGAGCATGCAGCTTTAATTTGTTTTCTAACACTGGAAGCATGTTATATGGACTTTTTCGTTTGGAGAAAATTATTGCAAAGATCAACCAGCACAGCTGTTTTGCAGTAAACTCTAATATATTTCGCAATTTCTGCACTTGGTTAAAAAATAACAACAAATATCACAGAGATAAGTTCACCTGTATAACTTCCCAAACTCAGCTGGTATTTCGCATTTTCACTTGCCACAGAAAACGAGCTGTATTCTGCAAATGCTGTTGCACCATGAATGTCTTCCAAGTCAACACGAAGCTTGTTACTGCTGCTCACAGTCAGGCGGTGAATCTTGTCCAGTCCCAGCCAAAACTCGCCGTTCAGATTGCCGAAGCCTCGTTTGTAATCATCCCAATCTCGGAAAAAATCTACGGAGCCATCCCGTCTCTTTTGAAACACTGTCCATCCTCCACCGGCTGTTTTGTGGTCACAGAAGACTTCAAATTCACCCAAACCATCAGGATCTATTTTGTACACGCCACTGATCTTGTCACCGGACTTGTAAATTTCGGCACAGTTTTTATAAACTGCAAATTGTACGACACAGTTAATCAAACCCTTTTATCATGAAATCTTGATTTCTCCTCTATATGAGCAGTTTTTCCACTCTGCCTCTAGTAGCAGAAACCCGCTTGCAAGACGTGAATTATTACAGTTAAAATAAATCAGTTGAATTTAAGCGATTTTGAAATAATACATTGAGGACGGAACAATCTTGTACAATTAGAAAATGAATGGAAAATTAGAAATCAAGTTAAAATCTGAATGATAAACCAAGAGCTATTTTTATGGCGTGAGATGCAGTAGTGTTGAAAAGTAAGTTTCTGAGATCTGGAGCAACGATCTTGGGGATGAAACAAACGGAATAAACGGGATTTTTAGTGTAAAAAGGGACAACATATAAATAAAAGAGCCACATCTTTCACAAACGTTTTCCGCTCGGGCGGCAAGTTTAATTTTCGATCATTTCCCTGAATTCTTGTCTTAGATCGGTCAGTTGTTCTTTCTGTAACGGTTTCTTAAGTTAGAATTGAAATCTCGTTCTCCCGGGTTGTTTGCACGCGCAGTCGAAACTCCTTAGAACACCACGCCAGTATAGGAGAACAATCTTTACTTTATTGTCTTTAATCCTAATCTTGTGGCCTCAGGGCGTTTCATACGAATCGAAGCAAAGCGGTCAACTGAAATAATTACATCAAGAAATCACTAAATATCGTTCCGTTTCTAACTTAGAAAGTAATCACAATGATTATGCCATGTGCTCATGCTAATAGAGAGCCTTGAGAGCGGTTAAAATCTAAGTATAGCTCTCACTAATGTCACAAATTTACGTAACAATGTAAATATCAACATAAGGGGATTGTAGCTCACCAACGTTCGCGGGTCTTGATTTTCCTATGAGAATTTCGTTCTAACTTGTTTCACGATCTTGAACAGAAGGGGTCTTAGCTTGAACTGAATGTGGGCTATGTTTGTTAAGCATTTAATGCATCAATCACGGTAACGTCAATTATATGGGAAAATATTTCTCAGCTTTACCGGGAGCGGTTACACTTTCATATTAGAAAGTATTTTCGATTTTCTTGGCGTGGCTTGTTTCGGGGAAGAGGCTGTTGCTACTAGTAATGACATCGCACTGCGAAGCCTTCGTTGTGCCGCGTTTGTTACGCTCAGTTTAATAAACTACAGATTGCATATAAATGAAAATGTACACAATCTACTTTGGAAACTTGATGAATTTTCACATGAGTTCAGTTTAAGGCAAGGAAATGAGGCAATCTTGTAATCAGACAATGCGAAACAATATCATCATCGCAAAGCACCTTATTTGCTGGAATTGATCTTGAAGGATTGCATGTAAATAAAAAAAAGTTCAAACTGTAATCGATGCGGTTCAAAAGATATATCGAGTAAGAAGGACCACACTGTAAATGCAAAATTAAATGAAAGCAAACTGGCTCGAAACTGACCGACTAAGTCTTAGGGACTTCATTGCTTCCGTGCTGTATAAATAAACACGCAATTGGTCTTATTTCGAGCCTTGAAATGACTCAGCATGTATACAACGACCCTGATATACCATATATAAAGTAATTATATCTTCTACTTAACTCTACATAAGTTTTGTTTCAAACCTTTTTCGGACGGATTCCCAGTTTGGTTTCCTTTCATTTCTTTGATTTCTTCTTTAAGTTCGGCCAACTTTTGTTTCACGTCAGAAAACATGCTTTCGATTTTCTTGCAGTTTGCACCAGCCTGGAAGGTGTTGTAGTTATTATTCACATTACAGTGCGAACCTTTCATTGTACCTCCGTCAGTCTTCGCGGGCTTCGTCGTCTGATTTGAGTTTGCAAATGCCGCAACGAAAAAACCCAACAGAAGAGCTTGAAAGAGGAGTTTCATCGCGATGGTTGTAAAATTTGTTATTGTTGAGCATCAAAAGTTACAGCGAGCAAATGAGTAGAGAGGACTCAAAAAATTGTATATTAAGTGTTTTCTACACTTCTACACACGAGCCTCAAGCGAGTGATTCCACTGCTTTTTCGAGTCCTCCTAAACTTGCACGGGTGTTCTTATAATTCGTTAGTAACACTGAGAAAATGTTTTCCTTTTAATTTAAGAAACACTGCAAGAAAAATAAATGAAAGTCCCTCGTTTATTTTGATTATCAAAATGTAAATTTTCTTTGCTTGCGGCATCATTACGTCAACACCACGTGCAGGCGCCTACCTGCACTACCCTCTCTCAAGCCCTACCGTTCATAAGCCCACCTACGCGTAAACGAGATATTACTTTCGATTATAAGCCCTCCCTCTGGTTTAAAATGATATTTCAAAGCTTAATCTACCATATGAAAAACGTATTTCGATCAACACGGCTGTACCTCATTTTCAAACGATTTTTTTATACAAGTGAATATATGAAAGATCACACTTATAAGCTTCCCAGAAGATAAGCCCCTCCGTTTATAAGCCCATCCAAAACTCCTTACGAAGCTGTATAAGCCAAGGGCTTATAAGTGGCAGTTTACGGTATACGCCGTGCAGAGCTAGTTATTGACAGATTGTTATTAGTATGAAATATTTCATAGATGTATCAATGAATCACATTGTGTAGGGGAACTACTTCCTCGTCTTCCTGTCAAAAGCCAGAATTGAAAAACATAATTCAGTGCCTAATCATATCCGCCACTACCCTGATCACTGAAACACCACTTCTTTTAGACCCATGCGTGCGATAAGTTATTAAACAGGTCAAGAAATACAAAGAGATAAATTTTAAATGAATTTAATTTAAAACAATTGTTGGTGGTCACTGGAGCATGCATCAAGCGTGGCACTTTTGCTGAGGAATTTGCATGACATATATGATTTAATTAGTCCTGTCTGAGATGAATACATACTAAGGAAAACCAAGGAAAGACTTTAGACTTTAGATTTCACTGTTAAGACTTTCAAGAATATGGTAATTAAAACTGCAATTGTACTTACTCCTTGAAGCCTGTCTTGAAAATTCTTTGCCTGATTTTCAGTGATCATTTATACATTTCTACGACAATGCATAAGTCAGCATGTACGTACGACCTACGCTAGGCCTACCGTCCACACTAATCCGTCACGAACACGGAGGTCTTCGAAAACGCTCTGCAAACCGGAGGAATTTGAAAACGCCGGCTTTGCGTTTTAGTGTAGATATTTTGAAAACGGAGCTTTTCGAAAACGATGACATCAAACACAAATGCAAAACGACTGGTGATTGTTGCGTTTGCAAATTCTTTCGCCGTACTATGGACGGAAAACATTTCGTGCGTTTTCAGAGTGAAAATGCCATTTTCAAATTTCTCCCGTATAGTGTGGACGGGGCCTGAATTAAATTGCTCTTGATTGAATAAGTCAGTGTGAAATGACGTCTCAAGTTTGTGGAAGTGAGCAAGGAGAGTTTCTTTCCGAAGAATGTATTTTTCGATCATCAAAAAAAAAAACAAAAAACAAACAAATAAATAACAAGAGGCTCATTATGAGTTTCTTTAAGTCACTCATTCTGTTTAAATGTTTTTAAAAGTTTTTCTCTGATGTTCTGCTTAGAAGAAGATGTATACATTTTACACCTTTACACCTTTTTTGTCCGAAGTGCAGATATACTTTCTGTTGCAGTTGTACAAGGGAAAAGTCCCTGGGAACGAGGTTGACTGGGATCTGTACTGCCAGCTGGGAATTTTTATGCAAATTTTTTGCTCAAAGCTGGATACCTGCGTTTCTCATTTTCCCCGCGAGGAGTAAACTCCCGAAAATAATAAATTGAAAGGAAATGCAGGAAATTCAAAGTTATTTCACAACTGCGTACCATACCTACTACAACATAAAATAGCATATGTTCACGGTGAAGCTAATAATTTCCATTCCTAGTTTCGTTACTCTCTTTGCATTGTTTTCACATAGAGCTTTCTCTTTGGCCGTCAACGGGAGTTGAATTTGAACCTTTTAATCTTTGCCTCAATGGCTATTGAAGCCACATTAAAGCAATAAACCCCGATTATTTTGATCCAAGGAATTTTTTGACAAAGTATTAACTTAATTTTGGAAGGAGAAATAAATTATTGATATTTATTGGGAAATCAACAAATCGCAATGTAACAGTCAAAGAAAACGTTTCCCCAATATCATTTTATATTTTTATTTGCACCACACGCTTAACTACACTAATATAACCTCGGAATCATTTTTTCACTATTACATACGTTAATTAGTAGAACGCTGTAAAAATACTGGAAAACTAAACGTTTGAGTTCACGGATGTAAAAATTGACCGAGATATTTGGAGTGGACATCAGACTGTTGAGAAAACTGTTTAACGGAATGTCAAGACAGAAACAGAGAGCTTACAATTAACTGGACAGTGTTCAGCCTTTTTCGTTCCAGTAACGGCAGCCTAAAACAGGTCATTTTTGAGTTGATTCTTGATTTGCGTCAAAGTACACGTGCAAGCGAAGCGTTTTTAAAACAGCGCCAAGACACCTGAAACCTATGCAAGAGCACCATAACTTATTAATTAGATTTGGTTCCAGTGTAACATGAGCAACATGGCACTGCATACATGTTAGAAGTCCTTTGGACGAATCTTCATCTCGGACCTCTTAACAGAGTAGTACGAATTCTTCCAGTAGACCCACGACATTCCTTGAGTATCCACCTTACCATTAAGGTATAAACCATTGAGGTTTGAATGATGACATGTGTTGTACCACCAAGCACCTTTATTAGAAGACGCACAATTGCCCGAGATGGCATCATTATCACGATGTTTGGTGCTAAATGGATGGCCACGGTGATAACTGAGGGAATCACCTGCAGTACCTGGGAAAAGAAGAAGCTACTCACCCAGCTAATATTATCAAGCACAAATTCGTTTGAGCGACATTGCTAAAGAACTTGAAGGAACAAGAATCACCGATCGAGATACTTTAGTGTAAGACATTGCTTCTCTGGAACCTCTATTTGTATTCGCCTTTTAATTCTTCAGTTAAACTTCACAAAATATTTTGACATTCGCTTTTGTTAAAGCTACAAAACACCAGCGATGATAAACAATTTAATCCAAGGGAATTGATAGGCTCGTTTGACTTTTACTCCTTAATAAGCCGGACCGCCTGGATAAATAAATCTAGAGGTCGCTGTTATTGACTTGATTGACAAAATCAGGTATTCCATACTGAAGTGCGAAATTCTGTTTAAGGTTTTATATCTCTTAAAAGCTAATTGATTTGCGGTGCATAACTGAAGAGCTGAATTTAATGGGAAAACAAACGCCACTTAAAACACGCAATAAAGAAGTAACTGCTTTTGGTATCGATAGTAAGCTATTGGATGTAGTTCACGTCAATACATTTAGCACTCGAGCATGCAGCTTTAATTTGTTTTCTAACACTGGAAGCATGTTATATGGACTTTTTCGTTTGGAGAAAATTATTGCAAAGATCAACCAGCACAGCTGTTTTGCAGTAAACTCTAATATATTTCGCAATTTCTGCACTTGGTTAAAAAATAACAACAAATATCACNAATCACGGTAACGTCAATCAAATGGGAAAATATTTCTAAACTTTACCGGAAGCGGTTACAATATTTTCAGGCCATTACGCGATGTAAATTCCACAATAAACCCTCACGCAAGCAACGGAGTTTATCGGTAGATTTTGTCCCATATTTCACGGTTATTCGAACAAAAACTTACATATTCCACATATCAACATTGCCCAAATCCATTCGCGATAAAAACGACGGCGAAAAAGCGTTGATCTCTCTCAAAACTCGTTTTCTTGTACTTCGAAACAACTTTTCGCCATACATTTCCTTCTAGCGACTAGCAATGTTTGTCCCCTGACGATTCCAGAGTTCTTCGCGCAAACACGGGTATCCGATTACTGGCAACGCATTCATTGGTTAAATCAGGTGATATCACGCAAGATTGAGTAGGACATTATTTTTTAACTGTTGCACGTAGATCACCTTAGTTACTGGATTTTTCATATACGATAGTTTTGCCGCTATGCTCACGCCATCGTCTCGTGATCATCGTGTGTTATTAATTGGCCAATCACATGTCAGGCTTATTTACCTTAACACATGAGTGGCTTTTAAAAACAGTGGTACATGTATGTTTTTGAAAAAACAAAGGATTCAAAAGTCGGAAGATCAATGTGTATGGTGACCGAGACGATCATTAACATTTAAATTACCAAGGAGTAAATCTTAAGAGGTTCCTTTTCAAATATTCCCAATCTAAAAACTAAATGCAAGAAACTTGGATAAAGGAAGCGAATTTGTGCAGGTGACAAAAGTGTTTTCCACAAAAAGATCCATGTTTACTTCAGCGGTAAATCAGTCGCTAAATACAAACGCTTGTATGCATTGTTGCTAATGTTATATCGTGCACGTAATTACCTGTAATGTTTTTATGCGACATAAGCTATTGACATTTCTAAACCTCTCGGTATGGTCGTGGAATTAGAAGTTTTGTGGAAGAAGAACTAGGCTTTTTAGAAGCTCAAATGACGTTTACGGGTAAAAGTCAAATGCAAATAGGATTGTGTTGAGGGTGATACGAGAATTATTATTTACATGCTTACATAATCCGAAAATTAATACGAAAATTATTAGCCCCCTGTCAGTTTCATCCATGCGTGAGTAGTCAAGCACTTGACTATGAAATGTTTAAGCAAGCAATCGGAACGATTATCCTGCTGGTATACGTTGGATCAATATTGATCTAATCGGCTTCACCTCTAAAATAAAGAATATAAAAGCAGAAACCGACACGACGTAGGATGATTTTTTGAAGGTGTACTATATTTCGGCTGGCCAAAGCAGCCTTCTTCAGGTACAATGAGCATTTTACATTGGGACGGGTTTTTATGCAGCATATTTTCGTAGTACCGGTGTCATAGTGATATGTGTATCCCCGTGATATGTGTATCCCCGCACACATATCACTAGTGATATGTGTATTCCCTCCAAAATGGCGACCAGTGATATGTGTATCCCCCACCCCCCTCCCCTCTACTTTAAAAAGCGATATCCTCCTTGAAAGCGCTCTCGTCGTCCGGTCGCTTACTGGACGAACGACTAACCCAAACAGGCTCCAGTAAAACACAAATCTTAATTTTTGTAGTTGAAAAAGTTTACGTATCTGCTGCTGGAATTGTGTTCTTGATCCTAACTGGTTTTCTGCGAGCAGGATATAGTGAATTTAAAGTTGAACACCAAATGGATCTAGATATATTTCAATTTGAGTTTCACGGCACCGGATTTCTAGGACGATATTAATTGCGCGGTGCNCACAGAAGACTTCAAATTCACCCAAACCATCAGGATCGATTTTGTACACGCCACTGATCTTGTCACCGGATTCGCAAACTTCGGCACAATTCTTGTAACCTGGGAATTGTACAACACAATCAACTTAAATTTTGTTTTTCCTCAATTTAAACCTTTACCTTTGCTCTGCAATGGAGCTTTTCACTCTGTCCTGCATCTACTAGGAAAAAATCCCTTGCAAGACTCCGCTTGAAGGATCCTATATATAACATAAATCTGTTTACGCTGGTTAATGGCTGGTGTGAAAATTGTTGAAGGAGAGCAATCTTCTAGACGAGATACTGGATGAACGAGAAACCCAGCCTGAAAATGAGAAAAATGAGATGAACCAGCGCAGGAGTAATACATAGAATGGTAGATTTTCTTTTGGCTGAGCCATCCTTTTTTGAGAGACACATAAGGTTAGTTTGAACAGTCAGAAGCGTATAATTAAAGCAAACAAAAAAGTATTCAACTTTTTGGTGAAGATTAATAATTGCGACAAAGCGTCCGTGAAGTTACAAACCTTTTTCAGCCTGTCCGCCAGTTTGGTTTTGCTTCGTTTTCGTGATCTCTTGTTTTAGTTCAGCCAGCTGTTGTTTGACTTCAGAAATCATATTTTCGATCTTCTTGGAGTTTGGTCCAGCGTGAAAGGTGTTGTAATTATTCACAGTACACCGCGAATTTTAACCAATCACATAACCCCACATTTCACGGTACGTCAATAGTACCCTGCTAGCTGACTTTATAACATTTTGAGTACGCTTTTGCACATAATGTTTGACAGGCAAGAAAACGGACCGTGCAGCGTCTGAAAAAATGCGATTGAAATAATCATCGGATTAACCCCTTTTCTTGTTCTTTACATCCTGAAGCAGACCTCGCAAGCGGCATAAACATATACTAGCTCGGGATGTTTAGCATTTTGGATTATTTAATTGGCAAATGATGTATTATGACTTTGATATTGATGCATTCCTTTTGACTCCTAAACAATGTCCATTGATACATCTTTTAACATACCATCCTATATTTACAGCGTTCCACAGCTACATAGTAATTTCAGATTAGCCAATGCTTTCATTCACGTAAAATGTTTAGTACGGAGCTTTAGCTAGCCTTAGGAAAGTCACGCGAACACTCGATTCCTCAATGATTCATTTACATGCGTGAAATCACTACTAGTAAGTCACGAGCGCGATAAACGAGCGCGAAAATGAGTGCGGCTGATATACAGGGAGCAAAAGCGGCTAATTTTCAGTGCCTGGAAATAGATATAAACATTACGGGGTTTTCTTGGACTAGTTTGGGCCATGAGGTTGGAGACGAGTCACGCAAGCACGCGATGTGTTACGTGTGACAAATACAATGTACATCAGTGTGAGCGTGACGCGAGACGTAAAGGATACTGTTTGCCAAAAAAAAACCCCGAAACATTTGCCTGTAAGGAACCAAGCGCAATAGAAAGAGGACCTTGAGCTTTCAAAGCAAGCCCAACTAGGTCAAAACAGTATTCTCTAAATGTTAAAATCGGAAATTGTAAACTGTTAACTGTAATAATAATTAATTTGACCTGTAGTCCTCCCCCCATGAGCACCCAAGTTTTTCAACTGTTTCAAGTGTACTAGCTAGTAATCGGGAACGTTCATGGAAATCCATACAATCCGTAGACCATAAAATCTGTTAGGATTATCATTCAATAAACTGACACGGAAAGATAACTCACCACTTTGTAACGATTATTTCCAGTCTAAGAGCAATAGAAATATTTATAATTTTTTGTAAATAATTTACTTTTTTAAACTTACACTGTAGCCTGAAATGTCAGACATCTCTCACCCAGGCATTAGGCTGAGGGTAGGAGATGACTGTCATTTCAGGCTAACACCACTGAATTTATATAGTAAAACTGGATCCTGATTCTGTAAAACTGGTTAATGTTTCCATCACCTGTCATATGGCATATTCAGGCATTGATAAGGTTAAATTACCTGGAATGTGACATGCGAGCCTTGTGGCTTATCAGGCTGGCAGTTATCTCCAGTGTCTGTAGCGTGAAGTGACTACGAATATATCTACTCTCCCCTGGATGGGATGCTAGCCCATTGCAGGGTTAATCGCCCTAACAGCATTAAATTTGCGGTTATCCCTATCTATGGGTCAGCAGTGTCTTGCCCAAGAACAAACACAGTGACTGCACCCAGACTGCTCCAGGAACATAGCTAGGATTTTTCAAAGGGAGTGAGGGGGTTCACACTGTGTCAAAGTGAGGGTACTCACCAGATTATCATGTCAGCCTCCACACCATCTTTTGGGTTGTTTGCTTAAGAAAGACTTACAAAAGAGAGGGGGCAGGGAGGGGGGGAGGGTCACAGGCACCCTAGGACCCCCCTAGCTATGCCCTTGCTGCTCAATCTGGAGTCCACCATACTAACCATCAGACCAATACACCTCCCATGGAGCCTGCGTTCCAGATGGAAATCTCCCTGTAACCGGTGGTATGTTGTTGGTGTCTGCAATGCAGGCTACTCCCATGGAGCCTGACATAACTCAGGGGATGGACTTGAATTCCATGCAGAGTAATAGCTGGGGGAAGACACTGTGTTATGGGCCGTTTTCAAATCATCTTTAAATTATACAAAACTTCATTGTTGCACTGATTTGTTAACACTCAGCTCATTATAGCTGCAAGGGTTAGAGAACTTAAATTTATTTCACTCATCAATAGAAAACTTGTTTCTTGGTGGATTTTGCTACCAGCTTAATAATCACTAGCCTGATTCTCAGATGGCCCAAGGTCACTTGCTATCACTAAAACTGACTTTAGAGCACCTGAGAATAAGACTATGATCACTTAATTAGAATCCAGGAGCAAAGGAAAATTTTCACACCTCTTAGTTGAAGTAAGAAAAGTGAAAAAGGCCTTTTGGCTCACACACAATGGCTGTAACTTGGTTTATGGTCAAATGGAAGCAGCCTGCTTTACCTTACTGGCACTGTGCTGGCCAAAACTGGCCAGGTAAAACCCATCAGTCAAAATCATGTACATGTATCGCATTAAACAAGAAATTATAAAATAATAAAATAATTAACTCTCTCACCATTAATTGATATATGTTTACAATAATGGAGAATGAGCTGTCCTGTAAAAAATCTTAGCCTGAAGTTTTGACATTTCAATCAAGTACACGAGAACCATACAGAAAAGACCGAAGTCTGATATTCTCACTCTGACTTATGAGAAAGTTTGGTATAAACCCACTGACCCCTTCCAGAAAAATCAGTCCTGAGGGAGCTACATCCTTCTCAGTACTACTTGTGATGTCATCACCTTTCACAGCAGAATATGTTTTTGATAATCAGCTGGTAAACTGGAAAGTATTTCAAAGTGTGCCTCAGTAAGAGAATAATACTGGCCAGGAAAGAAAATGTCACTCCATACACACTTTGAGTACAGAACAAAATACACTTTGAGTCTAAAATGACCACTCTTGATGACATTGTGATGCAAACATTTCTGGATAAACAAAGACAACTGAAAGGCCAAGAAAACCGCAAAAGCCTTGAGGGGTATAACTTTTTTTAACCCATTGACAAATATGTGAAAAATGAAGTTATAATCGCCAAACTGAGAATTGCTCTTAAAAAAATTTAACCTATCCCCACAAGTTGTCAAATTGTTAATTTTGAAGTGCAGTTTCCAGTTGACATGAACTTAATCTGTTGATCTTGTGGTATCCTCATAAACAGTCAACCATTAAAATTACTTTCTAAGTCTTTTACACTGAAGTAGTATTGCAGCTGTATGTCATTTTATATGTCGATTGATGAAAAATGAAAACAGGAACTTGTCCAACCGTAAAAGGATCTTGGCATCTTGCAGAAGCAAATTTGAATTGAAACATGCAAGTTATTTCAACCAAACTGTCTATTGACACTGGAATATTGAACATTAACATTGTACAGTTTCGATCAATCCCCAAAACTTGACTTTGTTTGTTTCTTATAATTCCAGTTTCTTCAAAAATAGCTAGTCTCTTTGTGGAAAAAGATGATGTCACATGCAAAAATTGAAAATCACGTACATTCATATGAATAACAAGTTCAGATGTATCAACTTAACTTTCCGTACCATTGTTAAACTGTAATTATTAGGGGTGGTAAACGTTCCATGTTGCTTGAAAAACTACAGGTCTTACAAAATTTTCTTTGAATTTCATAAGTCTTGCAATCTCCTGTTTTCAGTAGTTATGTGTGTCTCTCAGTCTCCATTTTTTTGCAAATCTGTTTCAGAGTATTTATTTTTTCAAAAGGCTAAGCAAAGTCTCAAAGTCACAATTTTTTATTTTTATAAATGACATCTAAAATCATGCTCTCGTATTTAAAACACTTGGAAGCCTCACAACCTAAAGCATCAGTGTCTTAGGCTCACAAAGAAAAACACTACATGTAGTCTCGCCTTCTAGCATTTACCATTTGCCACCCCTAAATGCAATGGTTGACTAAGGCAAGAGATATGGCAAAAAAGCTCCATATTGGCTGGTTTTCACTAATGCAAAACAGAAGCAACATAAGAAGAAGCAGAAAGGTTCTGTTTAGTAACACCTTTTGTTAAGAAGTTCTCCTGACAAAAGGCACTAATTATCAGCTTCCTACTGTGTCTGTGTATGAAGGCTGATGTTTATGGGTTAGTGAAAACCAGGCTTATCCTTTCAAGGTGGGCTTCTGCAAAGTTCAGCTGATCCTAATTACATGTCAACTGTAAAGAACATGTCCACTGTACTATATGTCCTACGTGCTCAGAAGTATTTTGTCACATTAAATAAAATATATGACAAGATGTAAGACTTACATTAAAACAAATACATTTTAAATACAAAATTTGATCTGCCAGGGCTATATGCAAGAAACATGTGGAAAATTTGACACAAACCTTTCAAGGGAGGACATTTAGTAGACTGTAAGCAAAGGCATTATGACTTCAATTCCAATTAAACCACAATTCACACCCTTATCACATTTTAATGATACAAATATTTCTCTTGGGAATTTTCTTTCTTTTAAACATAAAATACATCTCTGTCTTGTCGCTATTTCATGCAGCGATAAATTTTTCTTACTTTCGTATTAAAATAATTTCAAAATATAAATAGCTCTTTCATCTACATGTAGACTATTTTCTGAAACAAGTTTACACCCTGTACAGACACGCTGAGAGCGAGCGCTAAACGCCATATTGTATTAGCTCATCCCAATGTTAAAAAAAAGAAATATTAAGTCTTATATGGGCTTTCCGATGTAACCCATTTAAATTTCTATGTAAAATTCTCGCTCTGGATTTCTTTCAAAGATATTAAAATGCCCTTTTAACCACTATTTAATAGTGAAGTCAAGAAAAGCTCAATATATTTTTGGGCTTCTTACAAAATCTCGACAGTAGAATAAATTTATGCCTCGAAATTTTTAGTCCTTTCATTCTGAGGGAAAATTAAGCTTATATATTAAGGCAAACTCTGTCCAAAATAAATGGTAACTATACGAAGTACAAAAATGTCAGTGAAACGATAGCGTGATTTACACCTTGAGAGAGAATTTACATCAAGAATGGCAAAAATCAAAATTATTCATACCAAGACACGAACGTTCGTCCACGAGACCAAAAGCTGATTATATAGCTTCTAGTTGTTCGAGAGACATCAAAGTAAATTCTACGTACTTGGCACAGGAAATGAACTATTGACAGCAGCGGTCGATAAACATTCCGTGCAAAGGCTTTGCCTTTTCAGGGATGAACTTCCCGATTGTCTTTGATTATTTTTTGCCCTTTTCTGTTCGTGTTGAGCTCGATCGTGGTTTTCCAGTCCTGGGGGAAGTTCGTGCTCCGAATGTTTTTTCCTTTTCAACGAGGACTGTTCAACTCTCATCCTTGAAAGAGCAACAACTAAAGAATCATTCATTTCTGCAAGTTCTTGAGTTTCGTGGAACTCTGGCGACGACGATAACAAAGCAAAACCAAGATTTCGACGACAACCCATGATAGGGCTTGGCGGTGGCGCGCACGGCAATGACGATTCTTTTCCCACGGGCGGCGTTTGCCGTAACCCAGCCATTCCTTGCTGTCTTTCTTTAAACTTAGAAAAACACCTGTTATCCCTTGTTTATTAAAGACGCTGACCTTCTATAGTATTCTGTTGTAAGAGCTGTTTTTCGGCGAGCAGTATTTCTTCTTCCTTCGACAGTAAAACTCACCTACACGTATCATCCTCTCGCTCACATCATATTACCAAATTTATTCACTTTCAACAGCTGACGCCATTATAAAATTATTTCACAAAAATCTGACCAATAGTAGCATACAAAAAACAATGGCTCTTGTCAGGGCAGCCAATCAAAACTGTCGTACCATTGTATCCGCAGAGCTTAATTCACATCACGACATCCGTGAAATGAGCGTGACGTTACGCACGAAGGTATGTGACTCAATTTACTCGTTTTAAAGACAATCCTTTTTCATGTAATCGGTGAAATGGAGAGAATATTTCTGTTCCACAGTAGTTCATAGAAGAAAACGTCACTGAGATTGACTGCAAAAGAGACAAAAATTGTTTGACATAAACTCCAGCTGGGCTCTGGAACCTGATTGCTTGGCAGGAAAGCAAATCTGTCAAACTTATTTGCCTTCAGATCCAAAAAATATATATAATATATAGGGGTGTGGCAAGAAATGTCTAATAACTAATCATGTCATTGATTTTGGTTCAAAGGTTTATCGCAAAGTTTGTCGAACGTGCTTACCTGTCACGTGAGGCGAAGAAAGCGCTAATTACTGAAAAACTCTTGATACGACGAACGTGCTTGAAGAGACTGTAAACCCTCACAACCCGCCTTTACTAATCCAATACTTAAGAAGTGTTTGTACAGGACACTACTTCCAAAGTATCCATAAGAGTGCATCTTCAGGAGTCACCCGAGGGTTTGCGTCCGAGGTCTATAAATCGATCTAAACAATGAGGCTCTTGATTCTCTCTCTCCCTCTCTCTTATCTCTCTCGCTATCTATTCTCTCTCTTATATCATAGATCTTTTCACTGTTTCTGACGCCATCTAACTTGGGAGGCAAACACGGCAAAAACAGCAGTAAATGCACGGGGAAAACGAAGAATCTTATGTCTAAAATCTCACGGAAAAGGTTGTTGTTTAATACTGCCGTGTGAGGAAAACATTCACAACTTGAAACAGGCGGGTTTGATGGCTAGTCTTTCGATCTCCCTCGTCAAAGAACAGTTCTCTCTGGGAGTGTAAATAAACAATTTCTGTAGCAGAAATTTATACTCTGTCGGTGAAATAAACTGAATACTACTATTTATATAACAGAATGATTATATGAGAATGAATCTGTTGGTACTCAAGCACGTTAGATCGGGTCCCCTGCGGTGGCATTTCGCAACACAAAGCTGAGAAAAGTTACAGTTTTATGTAATTTTATTAAGTCCTGACGAAACATTGTATATTGAAAGACAAAGTAAAGAATGTCAATGCACAGCTTGTACGTGTGATACAAAATTTCTCATAAGATATAAATATCAATTCAGTTTAGCCAGATAATTTTTGATCAATTTTAGCGCACAATTTACACTAGCCTGTAAATACAGCTCCTTCCGCCCATCTCCCTCCACCCCTCCCTACTCCTTTTCGGCTGCTTTAGCGCTTCACAGCGACCGGAAGTGATGAGGGGCGCTTGTGTTCGCACGCACGCGTTATTTACACTTCACTCCGTCAAATATTTTCGCTCGCACGCGATTGGTCCAAGCGCGTCACGTGAATGAATATGCTCCAGCTAAAACTGGGGAATATATGAGTGATATTCCCCAATTTTGGCAGATCCCGCGTGTTGCGAAAAATGTTTGTTGAAGGATAATAAACACAAAAGCCTCGAAGCTCACAGTTTCCCTCCCGGAAGACTGTTCGCTTCTGGGAACAGATATTAAATGTCCACGGACAAATATCGGAGAGGCTCATAATTTCGCGACAAATGAGGCTATGGCTTAAATAATAAAATATAAAATAATTATAAAAATCTCTTACAGAAAACATTTTTTGTGTACGGATAAATTTCAGTGAACATTGAATCAGTAACATGTCCACTAAGTCCTCCATAATTTCTTCATAACTTACAGAAGTTACATGTGAATTTTGTAAAAAATGTTTACCTTGGATATCAACAAAAAAGTTAACCTAATTTACTCTTACAGTTCCGCATTAAACCAATCACTGGTGGCTACAACTTAATCAATTAAACTGTCTTGATCAACAAACTAATTATCAAAAGGTGACAAAGTAACTGGTGTGAATTCAGAATGTCATATAATTTACTTGCATTTGGAAAAAAATACTAGAGAAATATTATTTCCTCATTTCCTATTTCCCTCCTCATTTCCCTTCCCTCCTCATTACTTCATACCCCATATGAATCACATTAATATATTTATAAATATTTCATGGAAACTGGATGATCTCCGAAGTTTCATGCAAAAATTTTTGAGTTCAAGAGAACACAGAACTGTAGGTGGCCAAGAACAGATCTGATTGCTGTCACAGCTGTCCCAGGCTTGTTGCCTGAAACCTTCCTCCCTAGATTATTATCAATTTTTTTTTGTGTGTACAAAGACATAGGTGTTGAAGAACAGTTCTGGGTGCCATATGAGCTGTTCCAAACTTACTGCTCGCAAGCTTCCCCCTAGATTTCCAGTATGTGTCGCTTTTGCCTTTATTTGATGGCTGGCAGCCACAGGTTTCCCTCACTTTCTGCATTGCCGGTTTGTGGTACATTAATATACAGTGTACATTGACATTACTTGATTGATCAGTTGCCACAGGTTTCCCTCACTTGCATTCCAGTTTTGCAGTACATTAGTAATATTGGCATTATCTAATTGATCAGCTGTCACAGGTTTCCCACACTTTCCACATTGCAGGTTTAAGTTGCATGTACATAAATTGATGTACATTGTATTAACAATGACTCATCAGCTGGCAGCCACAGTTGTCTCAAGCGGTTCACTTGCTGTTAATGTAGATTTAAGATATGTATTGCCTTTACTTGTTCCTGCCAAGATGGCATCAACCTACAAACAACATAAGAAAATTTGATGGAATAATTACGCGGTATGCAAACTACAACGAAGTGCCGTGTATTAGGCACTCAGCATACAGTGTAAGTGATGATATTGTAATGTACCTCTTTCACGACATTGTTCCTAAATTCTGTCATTTGTTCTTGTAATACAAGAGCATCTTCTTTAAGCTTCAGCTGCCGTTCTCTTAAAGTACCAAGCACTTCAAGATTGGACTGCAAAGATAGTAAGACGAAACATGTTTGAACATTGCAGGTTTCAATATAGTTCTTTTGCCCATGAACTATTATTGTAAACACAAGACTGATGATGAAATTCCCAAGGGCATAAATGCACAACATCCTGTACAAAACAGTTGGTACATTAATACCAAGGAAAGCACAAAAGCGGTTCTGCTTTAAGTTTGGTCTGCCCTGCTCCTGGTTCCTCTTCCGTAACTGCCCTTGNTAGCTTCTAGGGTTGCGCCTCGCATGGGTAACTTTATTTTCCTGTTCGTGCAATTCCTATTGGTCCTTTTCTTCTTTAATTAATTATATTGTAATTTTGTGACCAATTAAGTTGATAGACAACCAAAAAAAAAAAAGGCAGTAGCTGATAAAAATACATGTGGATCACTCCACTACTGTCAGTACTGACTGACCTTCATCAGTTCTAGTCCTTTACATGTCACAGGTGGTTCTGCTTTAAGTTTGGTCTGCTCTGCACCATCGCTTTCATCTCCATACATGTATCTAAACAGACGGAGATGAAAATGGTTCACATTACAATCATGGTTAACTTTGTTAAGGCAGATAACTCATGGTATAGCAGTGAAGTCTTGTGTGCATTTTGTACAGCATTTAATAGCTGGACTACAAAGTCTAATTGTTATGTTTACTCTAATCTGTGCCACTGCACCTTTGAAACTTCAACTAAGTACTACATATGAAAATTCAGCACTGTTTGAGAGAGCAATTTTTAGTCACCAGCTGAAAAATATTTTTGAAAGTTTTCCCAATGAGCTCAGGAGCTCTACTATTAAATGTCACTTTTAGTAGCACATATTACTATTTTACAGTTGAGTATGCCACCTGTGTGTTCTATAATTAACATTCTGCCAGGGTTACATGTAGGTATGATAAAACTAGTAATTACTATAAATTAAAATAATGTAACAGAAGGTAAATGTTGGTGATTGTAAGTTGGAGAAATTTTTAATGGGAAATTAACAGAACTTGTGATTGAATGTGCTTGTGTCACTGGCTTCTCTTATAACATTAACCACCCATAAATACATTTTTCACAAGTGAAACTTTGTTATGCACATTACTCACCTGTTAAATTCTTCCTGAGACATGGACAGTGCCTGTGCATCAAGCTTCTCTATGAACGATAGTGCACAACACTGTCAAAAGAAATGTCACGCAACATTAGATTTAATGTAAGCAAAACAATGAAATGATTTAGTGGGCCTATATGGTGACCCGTAAAGTTCAGCTGAAGATTCATTCCATCCTGTCACTATCAAGCTGCTGCATGAAGTGATTAGGAATATTACTGCACCACTAACACGAGATTCTATCTCACCCCATAGTCCATTGCAGAAACGTGAGAGGACTGAGACAAGTTTCTTACATTGATTAGACTGAATATCTAAACATTTCAGCTGAAATGTTACTGAAAGAAAAGCTACCCAGTCAAGTTTGAGAGTTTTCAGTGGAAAATTGTCCAAATGGGAGCCTTGCAAAAGTTGCAAAATTCCATACAAACCCTTACAATTTTGTGGCCTGTCTACCCAATCCATACAAACTCTCTATTTTAGGTAATATTTGAAGAGCTATCATTTTGCCATTTTCCTCCTCTAAATACTTCTATTCTTGCTTAAGACTCTCAAATTTAGTTGATCTTTCATTTGAATATCTTA